CGCAGAAGGAGGCTGAGGAAGCCGAGAGGGCCGCGCTGGAGGCCATCCGCGGGGATTATAGGCTTCCGGATGTGGGTCAAGAGGACAGGGAGAAGGTCGACCCTTACACCGTGACGGACGAAGACTTGGCTGCGTCGGTAGACGCGTTGACTAGGAGGTTGAGCAACATGCCTGAGTGGTCGGGAAATATGATCGACCCTGCGAAGTCTGCTGAGCTGGTCGCGGCGAGATGGGGCGGAAAGGCGAGTTATGACAAGCCTGAGGCTCCTCTGACTGAGGCTGGGATGAAGAGTGCGTCATTGGAGGATCGTGCCTACGCACTATCGCAGCTGAATCAGATGGTGAACTTTCACAAGAAGCACCTCTGCTCTGGGCGAGGAGCGCCTCTGGTGAGTGCAGCTGCCCCTAGTGGACCCTTTGCTCCTGACCAGTTGGATGATAGCAGGAAGTTCAGGCCTAGTGGGGCGGCGAGCAAGATGACCTACAATCTTGTGATACTGGATGGGAAGGAGGATTATCTTGCCGATAGGCGAGAGATCAATCCAGAGTTAAGGGAAACGGGAGTTATCCCTGATGAGGCCGTCACTTGCCAGATTGTGGTTCCCTCGAAGACGAGGTTGGGCGAATACCTCCCGAACTACGAGGAGACCGTGGGCACTGTTGCAGGACGGGAGGCGGCGAAGGAGTTGATGAGACTGCTCTCGTGCGATTTCGACGGTTTGGTCATCAATTCAAAGAGAGTCTCGGAGTTATTCGAGGAACGTGTGCTGAAGGAGACCGGACGCGAGGCTGGAAACTGGGTGAAAAGTGACCAGGCCATCTGGTTCCTGAAGGAGATTTCGGGCATGGAGAACGCTGAGATGTCTTGGAAGTTCTTCATTCCGACGCTTAAAGCTTTCCCGATAGGGCAAGTGGAGGCGATGCTCATGGTCATGTACGACGGGGATGGCGTTCTCCTCAAAGAGAGCACCAGGTTGGTTGCCGTTAGGCACACGCGGATCGGACGCGACTTGAGTTACAGTGCCGTTAGGCACAGGTATACTCAGGAAGATGCACCTGGCGGATCTCTGATGTATGAGATGCATTGGAATGAACTCCCCATGGTGGGATACGTCATCATGAAGTTCTCGGACTTTCGGAAGGCGGTTCAGCTCCAAAGGGTGAGGCGAAATGGAAAGGCCATGATCGAGATATTGATCACGAGGCCCGATGTGTACGAGACCATTGGGGATGGTAGGCAGGATGAGGGCCTGATCCCACTTGTGGGAGCCATGGCGCCGGATGCGAGGTATCGCCTTCGTGGTATGTCAGGGACAGGCTGCGGAACTACTCCGGCAGGTACGTGGTGGTAATGGTGGATCTTCGGGTGCACTGGTCCTTGGTTGGACCCGTGTTTTTGACGAGAAGGAAGACTCTTGCCGTTAGGAACGAGATCCACATGGGGGCTTGGAAGGCGGCATATATGTACGATGATTACACGATAGTGTACCATCGGGCATGGGACTATGGTGACTTCACCCCCGTTAGGGGAGAGCACAGGCGATCACGGGAAGAGATCAGGCTGAATGTGACTGCCACGTTCTGCTTGAGGTGCGCAGAGTTGATGCCAAATGGGATGCACTTGTGTCCCGGGTGCGCGCTCCCGGTCTTTTACCCGAACTTTATCCCCAACGCGGAGGAAAAGGACTTCGAAAGGTGCCACATCGTGCCGGAGTGGGTGAGGACCATGGGGCAGTTCAAGCCCAGGAGGATTCCCTCCGAAGTGGTCGGAGTCATCAAGAGGAATTTGATTTCCTATTCGATGGCATCCGATCTGAGGATGACGGTGCAGAGCGGCATCAGACTTCCCCCTTATCTTGGTGAAGACAAGGGAGGTGTCGATGCGGCGTGGGATGAGCTGGCGAAGGTGCTATTCCAATTCTCCTATGTGTCCGGGATTTCGGCCTCGGATGCGTTCGTGGAGAAGTGGGTGGCGAAGCACCTGATCAAGACCAACCAAGTCGATAGATTTGAGTCGGTCACGGAGTACTTCCGGGCCAACCCAAGACACGCTGCTCAGTGGGGTAGGCGTATGACGACTTCCGTTAGGAAGTTCGCTCGTCATGACACGTACTTGTCATTCTATATTCCGATGGCATACGTGATTGGTTCCGCGGCTGGTCATCTGACCCCATTGTACCCGACCCATCGAAAGGACGTGGACATCCTGGAGAGTCATGCGTTGATGTCGCAGCTCAGGAAGTACATGGTATCGGAGACAGGGTACGATGAGAAGAAGAGGTTGAAGGAGGCGATAGCCAAGGTGCAGAAGGCGATCAGCGCCGGACAGTCGGAGCCTCCCGCACCCTTCCGTGACCCGTTCGTCTACGTTAGTGACGAAAGGGTGAGGACGGTTCTTGACGGTCGTCAACCCGAACCATTGAACGTGGACATCGAGGGACTCCAAACGGTGCATCATGCTGCGCCGGGTCCTGGTCCCAAGCAGAAGCCGGTTCCCAAGGGCGGAAAAGGGAAAGGGAAGAAAGGGGAAAAGGGCGGAAAGGGCGGTAGTCCTTCCGGCCCACCACCAAAATCAGGTGAAGTGCCAGGAAAAGGATCTGGTAAGGGCGGTAGCCCATCTGTCCCAAAGGCGAAGGATGATGCTGGACCTGCTCCGATGGAGGTTGATACAGCAGCAGCTCAGCCGAAGAAGTCTTGGGCCGAGATGGTGGTTGAAGGGGCCAGGCCGAGTGCCAAGGCTAAAATGACCCCGATTCCTAAGGCCGAGCCGAGAGGGAAGGCTGCTTCAGCATCTGAGGCGAAGGGTGCTCCGGCTCCAAAAGCTGTGGCTAAGGAGACGAAGCAGGCCGAACCGAAGGTTGAGGTCAAGAAGGAGAAGACAGGCGGAGGTGACGCTCCCGGCGGTAGCCGCGGGTCGGCCGAAGGACAGAAGAGAGAAAGGAAATCCCGTTGGGATCCCGACGAGGCTGCGAAGGAGTCGACAAAGCGGGAGGCGTCCACGAGGCCTGGCGACGTCGACAGCAGACCAGGTGCGGCAGCGAGAGAAGCTAGCGGGGATGATCTTCACTCCGCGCTTGGCAGATCTTCGGCAAAGGATGCGGTAGCGCCTTTGACGGCCTCCAAGGCGATGGCAAAGAAGCCTGAAGGCGGGGAGATCCGGCTGCAGTCTGCTGAGCGGGCTGCGGCGAGCCCGGTGGAGGGTCACTTCCTGGTGCTGCCTGAGAGTTCGGTGGTGGACGCTTTCTTGTCGATCTCCACCAATAGAGTGCTGAACAAGCAGGTCAGGGATTTCATCAGGAATGGTGAGGACGCGTCGGCACTGGAGGCTCTCAACCAGATCGTGACGAACTCTCGATCTGGGAGGAGGCATAGGGAATCGGATGTTTCCCGTACTCCTTCTCGGAGGTCCGTTAGGACCGTGGACACCAGGGATTCCAGAGAGTCGAGGAGGCGCAGATACCGTCCGCGGCGCGAGGATGATCGCGACAGGAGGAGGGACGATGCTCGTGATCGTCGTGATGATGATTCACTCGATCGGGAGCGAGATCGAAGGCGAGATGATCGCAGGAGATCCGAAAGGGATCGTGATAGGGACCGTGCGCGGGGCGGGCGTGACCGGAGGAGACGTGACGATAGCCGGTAGGCTGAGTCACGGGGATTGCGGCCGATAGGCTTGCGTCCATTCTCCAATGGTCGGCGCGGTGTGGAGGTGGTGATGTTCCTCCCGGACCGCTGAGGCGCGGAGGTCATGTCTCTCCCGTACCGCTGCTGAGCTGCTGGACGTGCTCATCCGGAAGCAGTATGAGTGAGAGGGAAAGCAAACTGATGGGGGGTTACTCCCGGGTTTGCGGAATTCAGGCATTTTTCAGGTACGCATGGTCAGGGTACCTCTTGCCGTTAGGCGAGGGTACTAATGGACATACGTTATCTTTTATTTCATGGCTTCTGATAAGAATTAAACTTCTTGCATTGTTGATGCAAACAGTTGTGACCTAATGTCGTCATGTGGGCTTTTCCACAAGGTTTGTTGGACAGCGTTACCCCGATTAATTCGGGGTGGTGGCGGGAATTTAATGCCCGGGATGTCGCGCAACTGCCTTTGTGGGTTTGCTCCACCGCTGACGGCGGTAGTGTCCAGCTGTTTGCGGACGCATGCGAGCAGTTAAATCCTATCAGTAAATGGCACGCTCCACCCGTCATATGACGGGCTCCTCGTGAGGGGGGTGTGATTAGCCATGGTTCATATCATCATCAGGGACGTCGCGTTAGTGACCGACCTGTGGTGTTTTGGCTCAAGTTTTGGGTTCCGTCGCGCCTCGAATGGGCGTCGCCGAACCCCTGCGTCGACCGACGGCATCTCGGGGGAGAAAGAGACCTCGGGCCGCCGCCAGGTTGGTAGGGACCAGTCGTGCGGCCTGTTGTCGACCAAGGTTGCGGGTTAACCCTTTTCTTGTTTGGTTTGTTTTCCTTTGGTTGTTGTTCTCTGGTGTGTGGGAAACCCTGATCTTTGGGACCGGGGATTGGTTTGCTTTTGGGGAACCTTTCTTTTGTGGCTTGTTTACCCCAACTTACCCATTGCCTGGGCACAGGCTCGTGCCCGAATCACAACTTCACATACACTGTGTTTTGTGCACATGTGCCTCAAATTGAGTTTTGCCTGTGTGTGTGTCTCTTTGCAGCATCAAAGCATCCCATCTAATGGTGTGGAGCCATATCAAGTCACTTGTCACCGAACATTTTAGCTAATTATTCCACTTCGAGAAACCAGGTTTAAGGGGCTTTCTGGATAGCCAAAGTTCTAGCCTGCCCGCATCCGCTACTCCTTTTTACCACGACGTTTTTCCTTTGGTGTGGGTGTGTGTGTGTGTGGGTGTGTTTGCGTGTCTGTATGTGCGTGTGTGTGTGTCTTGTGTTTGTCTTTTTTTTCAGGGTACGTTTTTGTTCAAACGCAAATCGAACAGGAAGTCACCCTCGTGGTTCATGTGACAAACCCAACGGAGGCATCCTCACCGAGATCCAGCAGCGGGCACGCAGCGGGCGCCTGGATCCAGGCGAGGCCCCGCGAGTTTCGGAATCCTGAAGCTCTCGCACACTGGCCTAGCAAACGTGCGTTTCTTGAGGGTTCCCTTTTGGGTTTGTAAGGGAAGCGCAAGGGAATCTTGGATTCTCCAATTTTGAGACAATCCCAAACTGCAAAACAGGGAAGCCGAGCCTCTAATTTGCTAATTGCTCATGTTGTGGTTGAGTATGGTTGGTTTTTCTTAAAAAAAAAAAAAAAAACGATACTCGCTTCTCCCTAATACAAAAACCGTCCCCCTCCCCCCGGTAAATACAAAAACCTGGGGCGAGTTTTATTATTAGGGATCGCCGGTTTGGGCCTAGATCCAGTTGATAGTTTGCTGCTTAGTATTGGACTTGTGTTGCAAAGTGGATCTCCTTTGATTTGGAGCAAAAACTGCTCAGATTGCAACTTTTAAGTAAGAACAAGCCTAGTAAAGGAATCGTACTCCCGGAGCTCGGGTTCGAAAATCGCAACTTTGTAGTACAAGCCTAGCAAAGGAATCGTACTCCCGGAGCTTGGGCTATTTTGGGAGCTTGGTGGAAAGCATGTTTCAGGAGTTTAGTACTGGTTTTGTATTGGCCCATTTAAATTTAGTATTGCTGATTTTTTGCCGCGGCTCGGGGGAGTTTTATTATTAGAGGTAGGTTGATTAATAGGAAGAAGTGATTATCCTCCTCACAGCTTGTTGGGAGCTTGCCGTGGGAGAATGCTTGGACAAGAAGATTTGAACAGAACGGTCAGCAGGTGTACAAACATTGTGGTTGGCTCAACACTGTCAAGAATCCTGGGTTGATTGTGAGCTCGTCCCCAATAAAGGCCTATCGCCAGCAAGTCCGACTTGCCCTTTCGCGTTACAGCAAAAAAGACCCAATAGGCTGCCTTCAGTTTGCCCAACCAGTGGTCGGTCATGTAGCGATCAAACGGGAGGAAATGTGATGTTTCCCATTAGCCGACTCCGCGAGAGACACTGCGATCAAGTAGGGGCGGCATGAACCAGGGGGAGCCCCGTCAAGATCGTCATGCAAAAGCCATGCCGATCTTGGCCAACACACACGATAGCTTAATTGAGCAGAGCTTTTTTAGGGTAGTAAAAGGAAGAAAGGATAATGGACATATCAGGCCCCGCGCAGTCGGTTAAGGGGAGCTTCTCGCCTAGGCGCTGAATAGGCTTGACTTGACTGCTTGCCGGTAGTTTGTGCGTACGAGTTTAGCGCGAACACACACACAGACACACACACTGCAAAGGCCCTTTGAGAGCAAAACGCCAACTGCGTAGGCGCGCGACATACACCTCGCGTAGGCCGTCCGCATGGTGTTTGCACATGTCGTGGGCGCCGGCGTAGGCATTTGAGCCGCTTGCATTGCCTTCCCGAAAGAAACTGCTTATTTGTTTGCAGACTGCCTAACAGCTGGGCAGATTATGGCCATGATGAACTGGCCAAGAGGAAGGTTCTTGCTCATAATGAAGGTTGCTTTATGTGCCCAATTTCTACGGAGTGCAACCTGGCTAGTCAGATGTTGTTCACAAGCTGAGGGGCTGAACAAGACGGCCTCAACATGTAGATGTTGCTGCCGTAATTGTTTCTAGCTGTCCTTTCAGATACGGGTATGCGCCAACACCGCATGGTTCACATGTTGGTTTCTGTTGGATCTTCCCGCACAAAAATCACATCGCCTCGTTTGGCAGCCTCCTCCCCAAGTGCCTCGCTCCTGACCATGGCTGTGGAGAATTGGGCTTTGGGGCCACTTTCTGTGACATGGAGGGAATCCCCCTGCACCAGCAGGTGGTTGTTCATGTTTATTTGCCTGTTCCAGTTTTCGTTTGGTTGCATCCATCCCAACTGCTGATGTTGCCTATCCGCAGAAACTTGGTCTCCTTTGGTTTTCTTGACCTTCCCACCAACAAACATGGAAGCATGCAGCCGCTTTTGGAAAGGCGGTCTGTGTACTTTCGGTGGGTGGGTACCAGGAGATGGGAACGCAGAGCTTCCAGTGCCAGGCTGGTGCCGCGCGTGCCTCTGGCGCTTGAGCAAGGGGCGAGCGGACCCCCGCGCCATCCTGGCACTCGTGGAAGTCTTGGAAGGCGAGATGTTGGGACACCCGAATATGGGATATCACCCCGTGTTGGGTTGCGGGGTATGAAATCAAAGCATCGACCCCAAACGGCAATTGCGCACATTAGCTGGTTTCAATGGAATCACATCTTGCCAACAATCGGAGACCATGTCTGGGAAGCCAAATCAAACTGCCAAGTCAAGGACAAGTCGTTGCCTCGCATGAGTGGGGTGCAAGGAACGAGGAGCAACTAATTGGGCAACCAACTGTTGTCGTCAAGTCTAGTTGCAGATGTCGCAAACGCCGGCAAGTGTCATAAAAGCCACCTATTCGCTCCGGGTAAGTGTCCGAGTCACCGAGCACAAGCAGGGACACAAGCAGGGAAATGCGGAGACAAGTGGGAGGACAAGTGGGGACAGGGGCAGAAGCAGGGACAAGATCCGAGACGCAAGAAGGGAGACAAGCGTGGAGACAGTTGAAGAAACAAGCTGCGGCAAGGTCCGAGTCAGCAAGCGCAAGCAAAGAGACAAATGGGGAAACAAGTTGGGAGACAAGCTCAGAAGGTCCGAGTCAACATGCGCAAGCAGGGAGACCAGCGGGGAGACAAGTGTTGTCAGCAGACGTGACTTGGGGCAATTCTTTGCTTAAATAGAGAACGGCAACAGCTAAGCGGCTTGGGTTAAAACCAAATGTCGGGCAAGATGCAAAGAAAGTGAGATTTGTTTGTGCTGGGGTCCCTGGCGCAATGCTTGGGTGGATAGACTGACCCCTATTGGAGCTGCACTGTGGGCCAGATTCAGAGCCCAGCTCAAGTGGCGTTGAAGCTCCCTTGTCCTGACCCATTCACCCAGCGGCGCCCTTGCTTCTGTTGTTTGTTTGTTTTTTTCTTAAAATCTGGGGCTGTGGTTTTGTTAGTTTCTTGGCTGCCTCAATACAGGCCCATACGTTTGCCCTAACAAAAAGCTTGCATGAACCAAGCACGCCCGCACCACACCCACGCCACAAAAAGAAGCACCAGCATGCAGCATCACTGATTGCCTGTTTTTGGGCTCATTTTGACCCACTTGGTCAAATGATGAGTTCATTCGGCGGTCGCTAGGGTCTTTGAGCAGACTCCCTCCCCGTGACCTGAGCAGCATTGCCTTGGCCGCGGCGCGCCTGGACACGCAGGCGGAAACTGCCGTGCACAAATCGGTCTTTGGATTTGGGGGCTCAGGGGACCCGCTAAACAGGGTCCAACATAAAGTGAACAACCGTGCACCCAAGCACAGTCATGTGCGCAGCATCCGAAAGGAACTTCTTTGGTAGAGCCCGTTTGAGGTCATTGCGTTTAGCGTTTCAGAATTTTATTGGGTTGGTACCTGTTGTGGTGTTGGTTTAAAGACAAACGCACAGGACAACATGCTCCATGTTTTGAGGAGGTTACCGCAGGTCTCCCCTTTTTTGAGACAAACCCATCTTGCGGGATTGTTTAAACATAGGCATCAACCTCCAAAATAACAGATTCCCTTCTGCTTTCTCTTCCTTCAAAGCAACCTCAAACGGGGGTACTCTCGCAAAACGAGGCATCCTGTTCACCTTGACGGGTGTTGTTCGTTTGATGTCTTTTTGACCCAAATGCTACTGTGGGTGGACGAATTCCTGCACCACTTGGAACCTTTGGGAAATCATGGTTATTGGTATTTACCGGGGAATGATCATTCCGGGATTTTTCAGGGGATGCTGGATTTCGTCCATCCACAGTATGTACTTGAGCAACGTGTCCCGCGGGCGTGTGAGAAGGTTTGAGCTCAGTCCTTCAGTTGGTATCATTCGTCCGCATGTCATTGTCTACAGCAAATAAGTTTGACATGATATTCATTTGCACCTGAATCAGGATAAGATGACACACCGCCACGTTGCAGTTTCACAAACCAAAGACTCGTCTTAGGTTTGTCTTTGAATGGATCCGCAAGAACAAAAAAGAAGCCGTTTAAAAGGTTGCTTTAGCTTGCTTTAGCAATTCCAAAATTTGGTGACTCGTTGGGACCTGTGCCAGGCTGGCCAGGGGCTTCGACAGCTCGCTGAAGACTCGGTGCAGCTGCTGACATCCGCTGGCAATCCCCAGGTGCCTTTGCCCCAACTCGCAGGTTTGCTTCGGCCAGCCCATTGACGCATGTGGGTATGTGTCAAAGGGGAGCACTTTGATGCCTGTGTGCAAGCAGCGTGGGACGGTGCTTACGAGAAAACCAAAGGCGCTAAGCTTTTTTCAGTGGTCTCCTGTGTTTGAAGTTCCTCAAATCCGCAATGTGAATTATAGTTACTTGCACTGATTGGTGTCATAAATTTTGTTTGTTAGAGCCATGAATGCGAACGGCCCAATTTGTGTGGGCGTTGGGAGTTTGGTCTTGTCATGAGCGATTTGCTCAGCTGTGACCTAGACCTCGACTTCATTATGTATATATATATATATATCCATTTAAGCCAGCAATGAGAACCAATGCTCATAATAGAGTTGTTTACCCATATCATGGGGTGTGTGTCAAGCTTGGGGGAACAATTCATCCGCATATGATAAAGCGAGCTCGCTGCGGGGTGAGCTCACAGGCCGAATTTGAGGTGCATGTCTTCGACTGCCATGCAGCGATGTTTGGTTCAATCAAACTTGGATAGGATGAAGGAAGTCACGGAGAAAGATCCTTTCCAGTTGCGGCTAGCTGCAGCGCATTCCTAAATTGCATTTTGGCAGCCAAAGTACATGAATCTGGCACGAAAGAAGCCGCTTCAAGCATTGAACGGGCCGTTGCCAAATGGGCACAACTGCTTCACGCTCCAGGCAGCAAAGAACCCCCACCACAGCCACACAACGCGAACGGAGCTTGCACAGGCCATCTTTGCCGCCCG